CAGCTGCACTGTACCAGTACATGTATAATTTATGCCTTATTCCCTGTTTTGTTGGGCGCATTGAATTTAATCGTTGGCCAATCCGTGTGTCATCACCACGAACCGCTTTTTGGGAAAATCCTAATCTAATGTCTTTGTGTCCCACAGTCGACCCTTCCTGCTGATAAACAGGCATGCTGCCTTGTGTTTCTTCAGTTCAAAGACAATCTGCTAAATGGTCTTTAAAGCCAAGCAGAGAGCCACGGCGATATCAAAGCACACAAACAAATCCCACAGCAGCACATTAAGCCCAGACATCACTTTAAACAAATCAAACGCCTTGCTTCAAAAGAACAGTTAAGCGTACGCAGACAAATACACACGCACACATGCAAACACAATACCATGCAATTACTGAGCAAAAGCATATCTACAGTATACAGTGAGGACTACATTATAATATGTCTGTTTGTGTCTGTGTGTGTGTGTAGTAGTATTTACTCACTGTTAATTGCAAACAATGTCCACAGCTCTTACTTAGAGACTCTTGTAAAATGTTATTACCAGCATAAGCACTTCCACCTGCTGAGCTTTTACTACGAAGCATTTTCCTCCGTGTATATATTTACGTGTGAGTGTGTGAGAGGCATGTACGTACATATGCATATGATTGTGTGTGTGTGTGTGTGTGTGTGTGTGTGTGTGTGTGTGTGTGTGTTGGTGTGTGTACAGTGCGGGGTGGGTCAGAGCAAATGCTCTGCCGCTGTACTGTCAGGACGCTGGAATGTACTGCACACCACGGATGATATGAAATGGCCTCTGAAGAGCACAGGACCAAGGGCGAACTAATGTTGCTATTTTTGATCAAACACTTTTCTTTTCGTGTGGGTTCTGAGTCAATGATTTTACGTGAATGGGCACTGCAGAGCTGTTTGTCATCGCTCAAGGGTTAAATTAGGCATAAAAGGATCCTTGGAGTCATACTATTGCTGGTTTGGCTCAAGAGGGGGGTGCTGCTCTAGATTCATTATGGTTTAAATCACTTCTATATATATTCAATGCTCTGGTGAAGCAATGCTGTGCCTTGACTCACAGAAAAGGTCTTCAATTGCCTGAAACATCAGCTTCTTATAGATAATCGTGAAAAGGGGGATACCATATTTCCTTACTCCCCTGAAGTCAGGCCCTGATGGTGAATTGTAATTACCAGACCATGCTTGCCAGTAACATGGCAGACTGTTGCAGAGACAGCACTGTCTCCACCTGCCTAATGAACAGACAGGATTCAACAGAACCTCTGCACGGCTCTAAGCTGTAAAACATGAACACAGGAAAGCGTGCCAAGCGTTTGTTTTGAGGTGTGCTCACTAAACGATGGAGTAGAACGCTCAGGAAAGGAAGAAAAAAAAAATATCTTGGCAATCAAATTTACTGCTCCGGTTAAGTGTTGCCATGTTACAAGCAGCCACTTCAAACATGTAGTCAGACCTTTAAAACCGTTCTTATTAACTACTGAACAGTAGTTTATTTTGGTTCACTGCAACATGGAGGGCTGAACTGCGCATCTGCGAATTCAGACTTCTTGAAAACTATCAATTCATATTCATAAGACGCCATAAATACTAGGTTAGCAAAGTTGTTGGGAGGGGATTTATCGAACAATGTAGATGTATGAAATGTATTTAAATATGTATATATATTTTTTCTTTTTTTCAAATGTTAACAAGCAGCTGGTAAAGTTTGAATATCACCTATTTATGGCGTTAGTGATATGCTGACATCATATGTGAATAAACCTGCCCTCCGCATTAATATCTTGCGCCTCCTTAGTGCTCAGTATTATTTCTGTAATCAGCCCTGCTGGAGAGAAGTTGGAGGAGGTAGAGCGGCAGTGGGGGAAGAGAGGAGGGAAGGAAGGGCGAATCTCTTTCTACTTTCCGCCCCGGTGTTTGAAGTCTAAAATCTTTTGCAGGGTTTTAAACATCTGTTTCCAAACTGCCAGCAGCCACTAATTAGGGCTAAAAACAAGACGGAACGTCGTGAGAACCCTGGGGTGGGCATGAGGCGACATGCACACCCCACTAAAAAACCACCGCATTCCTCTGCCTAAAGACTACTTCTCTGAAAAGGGGGAGTGGGGCAGGGGATGGAGGGGAGGAGCAGGGCGGAGGGAGGGGAGGTGGTGGTAGTGTCGGGTCGGTGGGAGGAAAGAGATACGGGAAGGGTAGGCATTATTTTGAAGTCCCACCTGTCAGTGTTTTTTGTTTGATTCTAGGGGTCGTTTGTGTGTGTGTGTGTGTGTGTGTGTGTGTGTGTGTGTGTCTGTGTGGGTGTGTGTGTGTGTCTGTGTGGGTGTGTGTGTGTGTGTGTGTGTGTTCCAAGCTCCAAGTTTTTTTCTTTCCATAGCATTTGCAGTCATCAAGGTGCATGGTATTTTAAAGTTTAAAAGCTCTGCAATGACTCATTCTAAATGTGTTCTGTGTCTCTCCCTTATCTTCTTCATCCTTCAGTGCCTTCTTTCTTTATGATACTCTGTCTCCTCTCTTCCCTCTTTATATAGAGGAACTACCTCTGTACATTACACCTATTCAAGCACTGATCTCCAGCCTGTGTTGAGGTGTAACAAGCCAGCCCTATTAAGCATCTCCACGCAAACAATCATTTGATACTGATTTGATATTGTACTGAAAGCTCACATCGTCCCCTCCTTGTATACCTCTATTGTCCCTGAACGACATCCATTTTGTAACTTCAACAGCACAGTGGGGAGTCTCCTCTATGTCCTGTCCTTTTTAACATTTTGGAGATGCTTACCTTGTTTCTGTGCAACACTGATATATAACCAGATCGATTAGAGAAGTGAGCAGGCAAAAGACTTTAGCTTTGAACCCTGCCAAGGGGTCGTCAATCTTGAGTCAAAATACAAGAAGCAAAGGTCAGGCGAAGTGGGAGTCAGTTAGTCCTCTCTGGTTGTCACCAAAATCTTTTCCAAAAAATGAGGTACCATCTCTTTGATGTTGATGACTTTGAGTCAAAGTCTCTCTTGTTTGATTGATGCTTCAGCTTTCTTGGAAATTCACAGGCTGCCACACAGAAAGCTAAATTTATTGTGAGGAATCTGAGAACCAATATTTTGTTCTTCTAATGAACCATCTGAACCTTCTGGAAAGATCAACCTGTAGATTAAAATAAGGCAAAGTAGTGCCAGTTTTAATTAGTTTTTTTAATTAGTTTTCTTTGAGCCACTGTTTGTATTTTCAAAGTTCAAAAGTGTGTGATTACATATTCAGAATTGCCTCAGGGCACTCCACCTGCCAAATGCTGTTTGTAATGTTACATGATTTACTGCAGTTTGGCTTTAAATGTCATCGGGTTGTTAAAAATGTCCCATATAATAAAGTACAGCATGCAAATTAACTTCTTTGTTGCTTCCGGTAACATCTACAGGTAAAGTTGTCTTTTCTTTATATTTACAACACATCCCTCTGTCTATTGTATTTCATATCGCAGGCATCAAGCCATTAAACTACCATGCAGTCTCAGCCAAAACAGAAGAGAAACATCAGCTTCATTTTGACTCTCTGCAATATCCAAATTATTCGGTGAATTTTTCAAAATACAGTGTACAGATCTCTGTAATCTTCACTTTTCAAATGTAATTGAGGTTATGCCTATCATATACGAATGTGAGGCTAATAGGCTAATTGGTGTCTGTGTCTTCGTGTCTTAGTAAAAGGGTATTATGTAAAGTCAGCAGTCAGTGACAATGATATATGACCATCTCCACATGCCATTGTAAAACTAAGGTCTTGCGTTTTGAGGGCAGCATTTACAGCGAGTGAAGGTTGGTGTTTAACCCATTATTTTTGCATTTTTCACATGTTAGTGGCTCAATTCCACACTTACGCACAAGAACAGAGGTTTCAAATGCTCAAGGGCATTTTGACAGGATACACTGCCTCAAAAGGACAAGCTAACAAGCAAAGACAAACCTGTTTTAGATGTGGAACAGTTTGTAAGTCTCCCTTCATCCATCAATTATTGGCAAGAATGTGGCCTCAATATGTAGAGTAAACACAACATACATGAGGCCACACTGTGACACTGCCTGTTACCACGTTTCTTAACCTTACTACATCCACACAAAAAGACAAGGTCCCAAAAGACAAATTACCCTCTTTCCTTGGCTCATGAACTCATTACTACTCATGTCATATCAGCCCCCCATCCAAAGTTTATACTTCCAAGTCCACAGCACTGACTGGAATTTAAGTCACCTGCTCTACATCTATAACTATTTCTACCATCACAGCTGCTGCAGGGAGGCCAGTCAAGTTCGGCTGACGCGCTCCACATTTGTTGTCCACAGTGTTTTGTCTGCATAATCAAGGAAACCAGAAGAAAACTGATGGAGAGATACAGGCCCAAATTACTCAAGAGGAAACGGGGAACAATGAGCAATTTACGGTCGCTTCTTGTCTCTGTTCCACCACAGCGCTGCTGTATCATCAAGGCTTATCACTGTCATTTACATCTCTTTTCTCCCATTGCCCAAGGCAGAAACCTCTATAGGGATGTGTTATTATCATCTTCTAACCTAAAATTATTTGAATAGTTACATAAAGCACAGCAGGGTTAGGGTCAACCTAATTTAACCTCGTCAATTTTAAATGTAATGCAGGCCTACACAAGTTGATTTGTGGTGACATAATGGTAATATCTGAATATTGTTTTTGCACAAACTACCTTCTCACACTGAATTATTTTCAATTTAAAGGAGCCCTTAAGTGATTTGGTTTCATTAACTTGTGTCATTTAACTGTCACAATTGCAACAGCAAAGGCTTGACCTTTAGTCCCAGATATATGGGTCAAGCTCCAAAAAGACCTGATCCTACAATTGCAATAATGCAGCTGGATTGCATCTTTCATTAAACCTTCCCTGCATAGAATTCCCAAAATTTTCGGAGAAACACATGCACACAAACAGCCACATCCTCTCACCATCCCCTCCCAACTCACCTGTCTCCCAACTCTATTATTGTGCAGCCTCATGCGGGCATGGATGTCCTTGTAGGTTTCGCGGGCATCCAAGAAGTCCCTCGAGAACTTCTCACCGAATTCCACATCGGGACTGCAGCCGCCCCACTCCCAGGAGTCCTGGGGTCCCGGCAGGTCGGCGGGGAAGTGCTCCATGACGCCGTGTACCATACCCTTCCCCCGATGGATGGCCTCCAGTTGCAAGCGGTGCAGTTTGATGCGAAAGGCCTCCTCGTCCCCACGGCGTTTCTCGTCACAGCTGCACGCCTTTAGTTTGCCCATGGAGCAAGCATTGGCCACGGCGTGCACGACGCCTGCTGCTGCGATGGCATACGCAAAAGCACTCTCTCTGAAACCTGTGGGGGGGAAAGGACAGGACAGTGGTGTTATAGTGGTGTTATGCCTCATGTGGAAGTAGAGGGTTATAAGAACTGTCACAGTCAGGAATCCGAGTTTGGGAAAGGAAAGTCTGGGATATTTTGTCGAAGAGAACGTGTTGAAACACAAGACATGTTTTCAGTTAAAATGGTTACCAAGAGGAAGATGGAATTTAAACTCACTTAACTGAGACTGTGCTTCACTGCAAGGTTCAGAATGACACAAGAAACAAATGCAAATATAATGTATTCAACTATGTGATATGTTTCTTTTAAGAAGCTGCTGTAGAGGCATAAAATGTTGTTTTAAACAAAATTGAGTTTATGTAAAATGTCAACAAATTTTCAATAACCTGCAGGCACAAAATACCAGTGCGAGTGTGTCATGAACCTGTCAGGTGAAATGAGAGGATTACCAAGTCAATGAAGGATGAAATTTGATAACAATCCAAATCCAGATTACTAAGGCGCTGTTTACAAGTGATTTTTAGTCGTGTCACATTTTCTATTTTTAACTGAAACGGCATCAGAAATAGCAACAAAACTATTTAATTTTAAAGTTCTGTTGTAAAACTGCTGGATACAACTTTCAGCTGCAAAGTGATTTTTCTAGCACTAAAACTCAGTTCAACAACAGCTAAATGAGCGAGACAAAGACATTTTTTACTTCTGTTAGCAACATCTGTCCCATTTGTGAGTTCGCACGCTTTGTTTCATACACATTCAGTAATGCCGTCGTAAAAGAGATTCCTCTATTTCGATAAAGATACACAAAAGAGTTTATTCACACGTTTACACTATATACACATATGCCAAGACTCAAAAAACCTGGGGAAACATCTGGGACAATAGCAATTAAGTGTTCCAAACACTTGCGTACTTTGTCTCTGTGGGCCATCTGAACATTAACAGACCCCCACCACTCCCATCAGAGGACTCAGACACAGAATAAGGCTGTGTCTCCTTCTTATGTACAAGTTATGTGGCTATGCAATTTATTGCTGTCTACCAAGATTAACTAACTCAATTAATCTGTTGTGCTGCACCACTGTACCAAACATTTCCGCTGGCTCCCTCAGTCCAGCTTTCTCCAACTATTACTGATGCACTTTTGAAAGATCTTTTCTATTCTCTTCTTCTCTGACTGAGAAGCATCTGATGATCTCAGATAATTGTATTTTTTTGTAATTCAATATCTTAAAATGAAGGTTTGGGATCAAACTATGTGTTACTCTACGTGCATGTGTTTAGGTTAGAGAGGCTGATTATGCCACACCGCAGCTTTTGCCTTGTAATCACTTCCATGGCTTAGACGGACCACTGCTGGAAGAGGAGGTGGTTAAATGGCTGTGTCCATATAATCTCTCCATACGACGTGCGACTGCTTTTGCCTTAACGGTTAAACACATCCCTTTCTCCTGGACAGCAAGTCTAACTTGCACGCGGCACATGTAATGAGTTCAACCCTACCACAACTGATCTGTAATTCCAAAGACTAATGTTACAGTGCTCTTCTCTTACACACACGCACTAGCAATACAGACAAACATACTGTACACATTCATCCTCCATGTTGATATATTTCTGGAACAAAGAAAAAAACTTTTTCAAATTGTGGAATCCATGAATATTGAAGAATGAAGTGCGAAAACAGCGCTTGCACTCGTACACTCTCCAGTGTTTGTTGTTAGATCTCATCTTACTGCCTGTAAGCATGGTGCCCTCAGGTTCTATAAAAGCAGCCCCACTGGCAGTCACTTACTTGTGTATGGAAACTTGTAAAGAAAACATGAAAAGAAACCACTTAGGGGTTTATAGCACACCGCCTTAAGGGGAAGTGATTCAGGCTGCTTGTTGGAGTCGAATAAAAGGCTATTAACTGGAACTTACCCTTTTAGCACTGTTTGATGTGTTTCCTTATTTGTATATTGAAGTAAACTTCATAATATTTTGAGGTATGATGTAAAGTTTGACACATTCGCTGTCATGCTGGACTTGTTTGTCTTTCTTGACACCGGGCACATAAAAAGTCGGAGGCAGCGCAATTACGAGTAAACGAGAAATTCATCCATGGAGCAAGTGACAGTCTGTAGCTCTCCCATACAACTGTACTGTGGGTTTGCAAGTACTAGCAACACAGTGTAAAAAAAGACAGAAACCAAAGCCCTTTTATTTGAATGGGGCCAGTCGGTCAATACAGGGGGCTGTGGCAAAACAACACAGGGTCGTCCGTGAAAAAAGTTGAAAAGGCTCAACTCAATGTAATTTGGTAAGGCGTCGCATTAACCTGCAGGCCTTAAACAAGCCCCCCACCAAGGCAGCCTTCTACGCTGTTTTAATGTCGGGCTGTTTAAACGCAGGGATGTTTTCAGTCTGAAGCACTGAATAACAACTTGGACTTGTGAGCCGAAAGTGAGCCGACCAGATGCCGGTTGATTTTCAGCTAGCAAGGAAGCTGATTCTGATCCTCATTTCAACAAGCTGGCAACATTACCCACAGTGTCTCCAGCTGCACACAAACTGCATTACTTTACACGCTATATACACAACACTTTTAGGTTGATATGACGACAGTGTTAGCAAAAATGTCCTTATTAACATATACAGCATATATGGAGCAACATTAGCATTCACTTAGAGTCATATTTATGTCCACCTGATGAATGTAAATCCAATATTCACTCTCCTTTTAGCTCAGTTTTTGGTCTCCACCGACTCTTGAGGGAAATATCTGGCTCTTTGGAGGCTATATGCCCACTATGTTCACAAGCTATTGTCGCTAACTTTGTCTGTAGTGTGTCTTGTATGCTAACCCTATCCCTAAACCACAGTGGGTTTATTAGAGCTTTGTTTGCTAAAAACAGATTCATAGTCATAGTCAAGTAGACATGTGATCTGTCGTTATGATAAAAGAATATTATTATTATTGCAGGTTTAAAGTTCAACGTGTGATTAGGGGCAATTATGAATTTGGTTTTATATCAGCAAAAAAAAAGAAGATGCACACACTCACACTAACACATAGATAATTTGACAAACTAACTCACAATCTGCCCCCACCCACCCTAACACCTATACTCGCACAAGGTGGGGGAAGTGAAAGGGTTGGCACTTAGGCACATCCTTATACATAGAAAGCCTGTTTTAGCTCTTGCTCTGCTCTGAGTCGGGCTCTGCAACCCAGGCCCCCGGAAGACTGGGAACAAATCAATCCAACAAATAATTTATCGGCTGCGACACGCCCGGCTGAACTGATGGTTGAGAAAGTGACAAAATGAATTAAAGATTCAAAGGGAACTGTCACTTTGTGTTACAGAAACCGACTAAACAGGTTTATGCTTCTGCTGCGGAGAGTTGGGAAAGTGCTGAGAGCAAATTCACAAGCACTTGCACTGGAAAGGGAAGTAAAAGCATTAGGAGCAGCCCAGCGAGGGAGGACACAGACACAGTGACAGAGAAAAAGAGGGAGAAAGACAGAGAGAGATTCTCCTATTTCTGTCTATCCATGATTTGCCCGACGTCCTCTTTAACCTAGTTTTTGATGCAAGCTAAACAGGAATGAACATGAGCCCATAAAAGTTATCGGAATCAATCAGCAGCAAGATACGTGGCAGAGCCAGAGAGGATCAGAGCAGCATCTGATGTAGTAAAGCTAGACACCAAACAAACACTGAGATACGGAGCCCCTGATAGACAACTCCAACACTTTGCAACTAATCAGAAGATTTGAGAAAGTTCTGCAAGAATATTGAAACAGGAGATGTTCCAATTCCCCAAAATATTTCATTCTACAGGAAAGGTTTTGTTTCATTGTGTAAAAATAGATGCATTTGTTGCTATAGTATATTATTTAAAAAGCAAAATACCAGTTTGGTATACTTTGCCTTTCCTAAATTTTGTTTGTGGGTAGTTACATTTAAAATATGTGTTAATCTCCACAGTTCCATTTTATTCATGTCTGCAACTCTGTGTCAATGAAAGCACTGCCTCTTTGCAGCTGCACGCAACAATGGCTGCAGCACGCTAACTTACATCCATTTCTTATAGCTTCTGTGGAGATTTTGTGAACGCATCAACTTGTAACAGATGAATCATCCAATTAAAGAGATTTATGTCAGTGGTTTAGAGTTTCTGCACCCGAGGCAACCAGGGATGCCAGACAACCAGCAACTGCCTGTACTAATAATGACAAACAGCCATTCAATGAGTCAGTGAGGAGTGAAAGTAAGACCAGAGGTGTGTGAGCAAACTGTAGTTACAGTTAATAAGTTTTTTTTCTGCAATACACAGCGATGACAGGGAATAAAGTCCTTACTGAGGGTTATAAAACGTAGGCTTCATGATTGTATTTGCACACAGATTAAATTATAGCAACACCCCTCCAGGTAATATCTGACACATTTAATCAGTTCAGGGTTTTTTTTATGATGGGGAATTCCATCAACAATCTAGTGACATGGTCTTAAAGGATACTTCACTTTTTTATACTTGGCATACTTTTTTTTATACTCTAAAAACTCCAAATGTAAATTAACAAATATATTTCGTCGTGCCAAAGCCAATGCACTGCAATGCAATACATTAATATAAAATGCAAAAAGCACCATTAGAGCACTGTGATGCACTTCATCTCAACATGTCAGGGTCTTTTCAGTGAAAATTAATTTGCTAACATAGAGCCTTATTTGTCAGTCATTATTAAAGATTTGGATCTATAAATAACTCAGCTTCGAGCACTATCTTGTTCCTCATGTGGCCATATTGAAAACAAACTCAAGACTCAACTACCAACTACATTGTGCGCTGTTCATCCATCCAGGTGCTCTGGCTATTAAGAAACCGATGCCTTTTCCAGTCTATAACCCGAATGAGTCCATCTGAAGAGCGTCCCAACTGAAAAGATCCTCTTTCATCCTTTGTGGCTTACTCTCAAAGCTCCAAGCTCTACAAACCGTCATAGAAAAGTGATCTGCATGATGTTTGGTAATCTTGAGGTGACTAACTGCTTTTGATGTTACTTGTTCTTTTGTACTATCTATTGAGTAGATACAGTAAGGGGTAGAAAGTATAGATACCAGTCTGCTAGTCACTAGAAATAACTTTACAATTTAGAGGACATCATACTTGTAAGATAACATTCAATAATTGCATGAGGAGTGTGTTTGGAGAATAATATTACACTAATGCTTGTTTAGGACGTGTATTTTTGTGGAAACTAATCTTTCTAAGCCCATCCTTTCAAGGTGTTCTATCAAAGTGTGTTTGAGGATGAAACCACAGCCCGTTTGAAGAATAAACTTTTGAACTGTACTTCATTGTTGTTTTTTTCAACAGGCACTTTGAGTTGACATCCCGCCCCCATTGCCGTAAAGATGTCTCTTAATTTTTCTCAAATGAGATTTGTGCATTTTATAACTTTTAAAATCGACATCATCTTGCTTTCCAAGTGCTGCGATTCAAATGTTTGATGGAAGAGATACAAAAATGGTTACAAGAAAAGCAGACTGTGAACTGAAACGTGACCATAAAACTGACCTCTTTTAAAGACGATGCTGTCGTAGGGTATTTTGTTCCTAGTCTCCAGGCTGGAGCAGTTCCAGCGGTGTCCTCTGAACTGGTGCTGGCACTCGTGGATGGCAATCTGGATGCCCTGGATCGCTGAAGCCGTCACGTCAGGGTTCCTCATGCACACCTCTAGCTGGCGCCGCGTCAAACCTGGCAGTGTGAGACACACCGTGTTGGCATTCAGGATCGGGTCGATGTTGGGGAGCTTCAGACCCAAGATTTCATTGGAGTCTACCCTGCATGGAGCATACAGGCCAGGTTATTGACAAGACAAAAGTTCAACTAATATATCTTTTGCTTGCTCACAAAAGTGTACTTGGGACAAGTAGGGTTTCTGTTGGTCCTTGGGTGCCACAGCAGTCAGTTCCCACAGTACCAAACAGTCGCCCTGACTTGATGGTACCCAGTGTAAAACCTCAATAGTACACATACTGTGGGTTGGTCAACACTTGCTGGTGTTTGAAATGCACTCATATATCTATGCATTTGTTTTTCAGATTGATTCACTTTATGATCATGCAAAGTTGTCAGCAATATAAAAAGAGAGCTAAGACTATGACATGTGGTTGAAATGCCTACGCTGAAAGCTGCAACGCACTGTACTTTGTGTCAATTTAGGCCACATTCAGGTTTTGTATCCTGATCTTCACTTTGATGCTGTGCATGAGTTGAAGTGGGGAGTGAGGAAACAGTATCCACTCGTTGGCATGTATCCAATATTTCAAGTAAGAGTTTTAGATACACAGCAGGGAAAAAGCTATTTACCCCTCGTACTGTAAAAGCACCTCAGGAAATCAGTTGACAAGCAAATGCAATGGCTTTGTAGCTGTGATGTGTGTCTCTGTAGTCAACTGTCTGCTGCTTCTGTTGGAGATCAATCATGTGAACAGTAATTCAGCTGACAGAGGTCAAAGCCCTTTTCTACTTCACAGAGAAACAGTAAGAGCAGTAACAAGGAAAACACAGGCTGCGCTGATGATGGCTTGAGAGCTGAAAGGTGCCCAGCTTTATCTTTTCATTATCATTACAAGTAAAGCACAGGTTGTGTGTCACAGCATTTGTATGATTGAGACACACAAATCAAGACTATGTATGGCGGTGGGCACACACGCAGACATCCACATCTGTGTGCACACATGCTTGCACAGCCAGACATGCACACACAAATACCCAGGTGTAGGGAGGAGTGTACGGTAACACACACAGAGGCACTCACACAGCTGTAGAAACTTTTCTTTCCAGAGTTTCTTCAACATGTGTAACTGCAAGTTTCCTTTCTGTGAGCCTCTTTAACAAAAGAAAAAAAATATTTAAAAATCTTTCTGACTGAAAAAAGCAACCAGTAGTTTTGGAGTATAATTACAAGCTACAGCAAAACATGTTGTGACATCAAATGTTGCTTATTTGCATATAGTGGTGCCTTATTTTCTAGGTGGCATTGTGTCAATTTCAGTTTTTGTTCCTACCTGTTGTGTTTTGAGAGTAGACCTGTTTCAACAACTATCTTTGCAAAGAGCAACTGTTTACTGATTGGCAACATTGTTCGGGAATGAGTGGTGCCTGGGAGGCAGGCAATTGGTGTAACCTTGTAAAAAATAGACAAATGTTTCCTTCTTTAGTTTATGTTTTTATGTATTGGCTCTCAGCACGTCAGCCTAGATAGTGAGGGTAATTAACATTTTGCTTTGAGAAGGAAAGCTGACATTAATGTTGTTTCAATACATCATTATTTAATTCACAGAAACTAATAAATGAGGCTATGATGAAAATAGATACATAGATACATAAATACAGTTGTTAAACCCATTTTCATGAAATAAAAAAAAAACAGAGATGCCTTTTAGTGTAATAAACCAACACAGGGATTAACTTCTTTTTTGTGCGAATTTATTCCTTATTAAACTCAACTCACCTTTTATCCAAGAGACAGATAACCACCAAGATGCACGTTATTCTGATGATCGAGTGTTCCATTTTGTTCCTCGTACTTTTGAAAATAAATAAGATAGAAAAAAGTTTTCAAAATAAAGAGACAAGAGTTTAAAGTCCAGTATTCCGCCTTAAACTTTAGGGAGGACGAAAGAGAAGAGCGGGGTCAGGTCAGGTCCGGTTCAACGTTGGCGATGGACTTGACAGCTCCGACGACGTCCAGATGTGCCAACCAGCGGCAGGATACTCATTCACAAAAAAAGTTTCATCCACCCCTCAACTTGCTGAATGGAGGAGGTTGCAACGACTTGAAGGAAAAAGTCAGCGTGGTCTTTCGCATACACATCCGTACACATCCCGGTATTAACGCCGAGGCTTTTGCATTGATGTAACATCTGAGACGGGTCGGCTGAACCGAGATAGGCGCTCCAAATGAAGTCTGCTTGACTAGTGATGTTTCGGTGTGCTCCGATAGTCCTCTAAACTCCTGCACTTAGCGCTTCGCCAGCCCACTTTTTTTTTGCGTCACCCAGGCAGAAGAGGAGCGCCGAGGGAGGTCAAGTGCCTTGTTAAAGCAGGATAGAGATCCTTTTAGATAAGGAAACCAGAAACACTTAGCCTGCGCCCTCTGTGAGGGAGAACATGTATATTCACTGGAGGAGATGTGCTGGACTACAAAGCGTGGACTACATATAGTGTATTGCAAAAGTGAAGAATATTGTATTGACTTCAGCGATTTGGTTGAAAGAGGGAAGATGAGTAGCAGGACAGAATGAGGATTATAATGAAGCTCAGAGAAGACTTTTTATCCTCAAATCCCACCATTCTTTTTAAACTACTGTGTGTGTGTGTGTGTGTGTGTGTGTGTGTGTACAACGGCACACTTTTTGTATCCTGCAATGACAAAAACAACCAACAAATGAGGAAATTAAACAATTTACTTTACACGGTAATTCTTCCTTTTACTCTTTACTTTGCTTTACTACTTGAATTCAAACAACTTCAATTATCTTCAACCTACAGGCTAATTCACCCCTGCCTTGAATTATTTATTGAATTCATTTTTTTTAAAGTTTCCCTTCCATAAAGTTTGAGGACTCTAAACAGAAATGTTTATTTTAAAAAAGAAAGATCTAGATAGAGCAGAGGCTGAAATATCCTGACTTTTAATCCCCATGCATAAGCTCCAAAAACTCTGGATCTTTCACTTATAATGCAGCTGCATATTTTCGTTACACCCTCCCTGCGGGGTAACCCCTGTTTACATCATCAGAGCAGCGTATTTTCACAGAGCCTTTTCTATGACTGTTTCCATAGGCTGAGTACTGCCAAGTAAACTGATTTAGATGAGTTGTCATTAACAAGCATCTATATGTGTTTAGGAGGTGGGTTTGCAAAGGTTTGAATTCTGTCAATGTGAGGAACCTCTTGTGCTCCGAGAGAAGAAAAAGTATCATGAAAAAATAAGGGCTTGTTAAAATCGTCGGCAAGTCCTCATTCTTCTCTTGTGTGTCATTGCCTTTAATCTTTCAATTTAACGTATGACAAAAAGGTCCCTTATTGATGAAGACCACATGATATCACTCATCTCAGTGCTTTATGAGTAGGCTAGAATAAAGATTCAGAGACCACAAATAAAAAGGTTTCCCCCAACCATTGGAGGGAAGGAAGCTTTCTGCCAGCATGGAGTCACCAGAGTAGTAAAACACAACACGAGTGTAGCATTCAGACACAATTAAGTTGCCATAAACAAATGTAGAAGATCAGGGAATCAATCCAAAATATTTTCTTCCAGAGGGATTTATCACAGCACCCAGATCTGGAAGATTTGGCATGGACAGAACTCTGCTTCATTACTTCAAGGAATGAAAACAAAGCAGGCTTGTCAGTCAACTTAGTGCTTTTTGTGACTTTGAGTTTGGTTCTAAAGCAGGATGTTTTGAATGCTGTCATCCCAATCACCGTTCCTTAGAAATATGACTCATACATTACTCCCCTTGGAGAATCAACAACAGCGGCTTTATTGTGATTCAGTGAGGCAGCTATCAACCAAATCATGAAAAGGTGTTGAAGTTGATTTTTTTCCTCTTTCGCTCTAAAACAGTCTGATTATTATTATTACACTATATGTCAAAATTACCCTACAAATTAACCCCTGATAATCAAGACTATGTAACCTGTTAAGGAAGAAATGTCTAATATCTCCTCTTAAAAATAGAAAGTTGAATCCATATTCAGTAAAATGCACCTTTGCTCAGGTCAATAGACTCCCTTTTGCTGATATACAGCCGTACTTGATCTTGCATGACAGTAGCTTTCTGTGACTAATGTCAGCAAATGCTAACAAACCTTTGCTAGACATTGTTTTGTAACCCACATTTTGTGTGCTGACTTCCTGACTCTCTCATATTTTTCCTTTTGCTATTTATCAGTTGAGATTGTTTTGCTGTGAGTTGCATATTTTTAAAGATATCTTCTATATATAGGCTGTCACAGCAAAACAATTTTGATTGATAAATAGCTCAACAGGTAAGAAATCTGTATTTTTTTATTTTGTGGTGAGCTGTCCCTTTAAGTGACCTGTTTCATAATGTTGTAGACAGCAGTAGAAAAGAACGATAAACTCAGCAGAAGGTCTCCTCTGGGTTAATCTACCTTAAGTTAAATCACATTTTAAAGTTACATAGTCTTGCTTTAAAAAGACAATAAGAAAGAAAATAATTCAAAAGTCAAAATCTGACATACTGAGCTTTTTTTATCATGACTAATTTTGAAGTTTATATCTATTTAGCATATCTACCGAGAACTTTTTTTTATTTTCATCATGACTAACTTTTCAACATTTCTCTTAATTTTCCTTGCGGATATGAGCTTCCATTGGGACGCTACTTTGAAGTGATCCAATAAGTCCGAAATGTCAAGTTTGTGCTTAGAGTGGTTGTCACTGACCTCAAATTATTCACCAAGTATTCAGTCAAAGTCAATGTGGCTCAAGCAAATACCATTAAGAACTGTTTTCATGCATTATTTCTCTCAAAATGTGTTTGGGATGATGACTTTCGGGCCTCATTTTTAAAACTTGAACGACAAGTGCAGGTCCCAGCAGGCAACACCACTTTTTTTACACACACACGTTACATATTCATGCTGCGGACCTACTACACATTATTCATAATACACGCGCACACACACGCGAACATGCAGACACATAATACACACCATTTCCACATCTGGACCTGAGTCCTCTGCCAAAGACTCGGGTCTGCCGTCTTACTCTCTCCCTGCCTCTATTTGTGTGTTTTTCTCATTCTTCCTCTCTCTCCCACACACGCACACACACACACACGCACACACACACACTTTTATTGCTTCCCATGTTCACTTACATTCATTAAAAATGATATGGGAAACATTTCAGTGTTGGAAGAGGTTCAACTTGACTTCTGTCTCGAGACTTTATTTTTGTCAAATGCTAACGCCAGGTTTATAGTTCCCTGTTTTGTGCCTGAACATTATTTTTATTTTACACATGATGTTCCTGTAGACCTTGAAAACATTTATCTTTCACTGCTCACTCTCACTCACTCCGCTACGTGAAATATGAACCTGCTGAACGTTTAATTCAATAATAAAGGAAAACATAGACTTTTCGCCAGTATTTCTGCGGAGTTGCAGTGTCTGGTTCAATTGAAATTTTATTGTCCTGCAGGGAGAGACACGGCCGAGCTAAGTTTTCACAGTCTGGTGGCGAGTGCCATGTAAACACATTAGGTCATACAGTATTTATGAAGATATAGGTTCTGGTCTTGTGCAATCAAACTGTTAACTCTAAGTGTAGCAGTATCATGGAACTGAAATGTATGGTAATATAATACTTTATCTTTATGTTTGTGCTGTGTCTGTCAGATAAATCTAGCTGTACAATGTGGGTTTAAGAACTAAATACAGTAAGCGTTGAGACTGGATTCGATTTAGATAAGAAGATCAATACCACTCTCATTCTGTATGCTGAACATGAAGCTACCAGCAGCAGCCTATTAGTTTAGCTTATCATAAAGACTGGAAACAGAGGAAAACAAGCGTGTTGCTTCAGTGTTGTACGACGGTACACAAGTTACATTTTTACGTTTCATATAATGGCACATTATTACCGTGAAACGGTCACGGTTATGTTCATAGGCAACACAACTGCAGTGACGGCTTCAGTAAGGTTTAAGCAACAAAACCACTTAGTTAGGTATCGGAAAAACATTATTGGGCTAAAAACAAGTATATAAGAGTAAGTTAAATACATACAGAAACAACATAACATAACAAGACAACATGTCAAGAACTTCACTATGTCACAAATGTCACTAACAAAACATAACAAAACAAAAAACACTTTGGTCTCCTGTGTTTGTTTGACCCATCCAGGTCTCTCTCACAGTTTATACTACTTCACTTGTTCAGAGTGAGAAATGAGTTCTTATTGCCTGCAAAATGACTTACAAATTGTCATGTCATTCATTACTTCAATTGGTGAGAGCGGGCTGGTTTCCCCCTGTTTCCAGTCTTTGTTCTAAGCTAAGCCAATCTGCTGGTAGCTGTAGCTTCACACATAGCATACAAACACCAGAGTGCTTCTCATCTAACCCTTGGCAAAAAAGTGATTAACTATTGCTGTAAACTGGATCAAAACTGTTTTTCAACATTTCTCAATCTCCACTTGGTTAGCATCCAGATAATCTCCTTCCTAACGACAGAGTTCAACTGCATTGCTGCTGTGCTGCTTGGTTGCAAACCATGGTAACTTAAGTCTGAGTATCTCTGTCACACTTGTAAACTCAAAGGTGATATATAAATGGTGATGTAGTATATTTTTGCCTTTTACATTGAAGAGGGTTCCCATTGTGTTCTTGACATTGGTGCATTTTACACAGTACAGTATTGAGCTTTCATTAGTTTGCAGCGTCCCCCCTTTACTGCCATGAACTTTTTAAGCTTTACTTCATTGTTGCAGAAATAGCAGCGCGGGTATCATGGTTACTGTCATCAATTGATGCATGCACAGGACTTTCATGAACCCTGGGATCTCATACCAAATTAAGTGGAAGGTAGTGCACTCCGATAGGATTTATGATCGAAGGTCAGAAATAATTACAACATATAGTAATTTAATGATAGCTTGTGGCTATTTCGCAAATTCCCTCATCTTCTCTTGCTGTGTCTCTGGCTGGTCTTGGCCTTTCATTACCTTACTCTCTGTCACTACATGGGCCCATAACATCGTGACAGTACATTGTGCTACATACTAACTGACAAAAGTCATGTTTGTCGCACCCTCTCTCTCTCTGTGTCTCTCTGAGAAGGGAGTTCAAGCGAAGTTCATGTTTCTTGGAGAGTTTTGGACCAAGCTGACGAAAATGAGCAAAGCAGAGGGGAGCGCGTCGGTGC